GGGGAGCTCCTGGGTCTTCCTCGCCCAACTGTTGCTCCACGCTGCCAGGGGTGCGATGCTTCTAGTTGACTGGTCAGTAAGAGGCAAAGTTCTTGCACTTTATGAGATAAAAAAACTTTTTCTGCGTGAATAAAACGTGCCTGAGCAGAGGTGGGTGCTGCTGTAAGGAGCTTTCCCGGGGAGGCTCCGCTGAACCCAGGGCGAGTGCAGTCTGCACCTCGAATACCTACAGGTGAGTCCTGTCTGCTGGGCGCTGGGAGCCAACACGAAGCATGTTTGGGCTCTGGTTCCCGGTGTCCCCTGCCTGTGCCAGCCTGCTGTCGCAGCTCCTGGGCTCCCCTCGTGCCTGTGACCCGCTGGAGGGGAGCGGTTCCTTGCTGCTGCTGTGTCCTGCAGACCCCACGGGTGCAGTGTCCCGTCGGAGGCTTGGTTGTACTGTGCCATGCCCTCAGCCAGCTTTTGGGGCAGGATGGGAGCCTCATCTGTCTGCAGGATGCTGCCTGAGTGGTTGTCTGGGTGTTTGGAGGTACAGCCGTGGCAAACAGGGCTGCGGGGTTATTCTCTGGACACTGTTTCAGCTGCCAAAAGGGGCGAGCTCAGCCTCACCTCTTCATTCTGCCAGTATCTGCTCTGCCCCGAGGAAAGGACATGCCTCCAGCACGGTGCTGGGACGTCGCAGCCCCTGTCCCACAGCCGTGCTTTGCAGGAAGATGTCCCAAAAAAGGCGGTGGCAGGAAGAGAGCAGCTGACTCCTGAGACTCCCGAGAGGCTCCTGATAGGGGTCCCTTGGTGGAGGCTGCAGCAGGGCTGTGCGTCCCCTTCCCCGCTGCCAGCCTCCGTCTGCGGGTACCCGCTGCTCTGCCATGAACCACTGCATCCCCTCCCAGTCTCTCCAGTGTCCACCTCACATGTGTATTGCTGCTGTCTTGGGGTCCTGCTCCCCCAGAGCCCTGTGGAACAGGGCAGGAAAGCAGGACAGGAGTGACGCTCTAAGCAGAGCGCTTGTAAGAACTGAAGTGGGTTATGCTTTTTATTCTCAAGGTATGTTTGGTTTGAGTGTTTTGGGTTTTTTTTTTTCCTTTGAGTGGCTGCTAGTAGGCTTTGGTTCTGGCTGTAGTCTCAGGGCAAAGGAATATATTCTTATATTTAATGGGCAGAGCTGGTTCCACATATTTGTGGGAATGGAGAAATCTGTAGGCTTCAATGTGAGCACCTGCTGTGGTTTAGTTTTTCTTTCATCTTATTTATGGGAGGGAAAAACGCCTGTGTTTTTCCTCCTAGTCTGAAGATTACTGTGTGTGTTCCTCCAAACCACTTCCCGGGTGTTAGCCATGAGAATAAACCTTCCCTGTGTAAACTGGTTCTCCTGTGTCAGCTCTGGTTTGTCCCTTTTCCTGTGCTAAGGGCTGAAGTGATCCTCTGGCTGCGGCGGTGTGCCCCAAACGGCCAGGGCATCCCCCCAGCACAGAGAGCTTGGTGGTGGTCAGACCCTACCCTGCAGCCTTCCTCCTCCTCTTCCAAACCAGCACGGTGCCTGGCTGCGGTACGTGAGCTGCCCGGATGTGGCGTGTGCTCTGACAGCTCAGCAGCCAAACGCGGGCCAGGGATGCAAAAACTGCCACCGGCAGCGCTTAACCTGCTGCCTGTGTGCCACCCCAGCGCCTTCCGCTGCCGTTCGGAGGCTGCTGCTTTCGCCAGCTCAGTGACAGCCTTGCAAAGCCTTGTAGTCCTGTTATTTTAGCTGGCAGGTCTGTGTTTTTAGGCCACGGCTGTTAATCGTGAGAGTGAGGGGTACAGGGAAGAGCAACGCGCGTTCTCCTGACCTCACTCCACAGATTGAGGCCCAGCAGCGATGGGCTGCTGCGGAGTTAACAGCTTTTCTTCTCTCCGTGCAGACCTTAAAGTGAACCTCCGCTGCCGTGACCTCTGCTTCGAGCTACCCTGCAGGAAGTGCTGCAGCCTCCTGTGCGCTGGGCGTCGCTCAGCACGGACCCAAAGGGTCCCGAGCGACACTGGAATTAAAACTGAGCCTGTCCTCCGGCAGCTTTACTTGCTTTGAGGTAGAGAGGAAGCCCCAGCAGAGAGGGAGGCGGTAGCCTGGCTTCCCAGGGAGTTCAGCGCAGGAAAACCACCTCCCTTCAGCTCAGCCAGCTGTCTGGCTGTCCTTGGGCAGCAACGCTACAGCAACTGGTGAGCTAAAACAGCTTTCCACCCTACCCCTCCGCAGCTCACTGCTAGGAAACTGGGAGGAGTTGCTGCCAAGAAAGCTTCTGTATTGCTCAGAGGAGGGGAAAGAGCAAGATCTGGGTGGACGCTTTTACTGTAATAGCTTAACTGAAGTAGAACTGAAGTAGAAAGAAATTTGGGTGCAGAGATGTAAGATGTCACTGTGCCAAATTCAGAAATTAAATAATCTTTTAATAAGAAACGTTACTAGTTTGACTGGGAGGAGTTGCTGCCAAGAAAGCTTCTGTATTGCTCAGAGGAGGGGAAAGAGCAAGATCTGGGTGGACGCTTTTACTGTAATAGCTTAACTGAAGTAGAACTGAAGTAGAAAGAAATTTGGGTGCAGAGATGTAAGATGTCACTGTGCCAAATTCAGAAATTAAATAATCTTTTAATAAGAAACGTTACTAGTTTGACAAAACCAGCTTTCATCAGCTAGCAGCATCACGGAGCCAGGTCCCAAGGTTTGTGGAAGAACTCCGTTTCAAATTCAGGAGCTAAACCAAAGGCTTTTCTGAGTGCTGGAGCGGAGCTTCCCCTTCAGGGCAAGCATCAGGTCCAGCTCCTCTGCATCCAGCCCTCCTTCCCTGCCAGGGACAACCAAGGTATGGCACTGTGACAGGTAAAAAAAACCAAAGGGGAATGTTGCTTAGGGAACTTTAACTTGGAAGGGAACTTAAAATTCCACACTGTGGAAAGCCAGGGCCTGAGAAGAGCTCAGCAGCCTGGCACCTGTCCCAGCAGCTACGACGGTGGGAGCTGCAGGGGGACTAGAGCCACTGTTTTCTCTGCAGATTCCCATTTCCAAACGCTTCCTTGAAATGTTTAAACTATCCCGCTCTGCTCCGCAGAAGAGCAGCTGAAGACAAAGGCTGACACCAGGAGTGGAGCTGCCTTTCGGAGCTGGTTGAAGCCTTGATGCACAAGCAGCATCAGGATGGTATTCCTTGGAGGAACAGCCTGCAGCCAGCCCTTCGGGAAGCACAGGCTTGTTTCCAACTCCAGTTCCTCTGAGCAGTAGTTGCTCCAGCAACTCCTGGACCTTTCAGGCTCTCGAGAAACATCCACCCGGGCTCAGTGGTTCTGAGGGCAGGTTTTCCTCGTGTGGCCAGGCTGGTGGCAAATGCTACAGGTCCGTGGTTTCTTGGCAGCGGCTTCTGAGGAGAAGTTGCTTGGTCGCTTGGCTTTACTTCCCAGCCCTCTTGAGTATCCACTGCTCCCAGAGTGGTTCAGAGAGACGTCTCCATAAGGCCCTGGAGAGAAACAACTTGCATTGAAATACCTTTGAGTAGGTGAGAAACAGAAGGTAAGTTCAAAATGACAGATGAAGGATTTTTCCTGTCCTGGCCACTCAGATTATTCCTGAAACTACACTTGTTTCCGATCTGTCTAAGCAGTTCAATATCACTGGTTTGTCCTGCAGCATCAGAGAAATGTGGGAGCAGAAGAGGGGAAGCTGCTCTCCCCTGCTGCATGCTCCGGTCTGTGGCTGAAGCAGAAACAACAGAACATGCCAGAGGAAAACTTGGGGTTTAAGTAGTTCTGAGACCTTGTTCCTACTCCTTTAGGCCCAAAAGTCTACAGAGGAGGCCGATGTTAAAGATCTCTCTCAGACCGTGTCTCATAGAATCACAGGCTGGTTTGGGTTGGAAGGGACCTTAAAGCCCACCCACTCCCACCCCCTGCCATGGGCAGGGACACCTTCCACCAGACCAGGTTGCTCCCAGCCTCATCCAGCCTGGCCTTGGACACTTCCAGGGATGGGGCATCCACAGCTTCTCTGGGCATCTCCAGCCCTGTTCTTTGCTTACTGTCCCTGCCAGTGCTCTCTTTCACATCCCTTATTTTGTGATTCATGTTTTTATGGGTACTTTTTTCAGCACCTTTCCACAGCAGCCACACTCATTTCTCAGCTCCGATCAAAGCTTTGGAATGACTTGGCCTTTAACTGCATCCCCAAACTAGGGTGGGGGGAGTAGCGTGGTTTCCCTGGCGTGACAGAATGGGGTTTAAGATCTCCAAAAATTGTGCCACTGCTTCAACTCTGCACCAAGTCTCTAACAGCCCTCACAAAGCTGAGCACCATCATTTGGGAGGTCAAATTCCCAAAGAGACTGTTGGAAAGTGCGGGGCTTTATCCAACGAGTCACAGACGGATGGACGCTCAAGCTTACTGCGTGCAGAAGCAAAGCATCCTGCTCGGAGCTCAGCAGATGCATGCTACGAGGATGTATCCTGCTGGCGCTGGGAAGGTAAGCCAGAATCCACTGCTACAAGCAACGTTTGAAGCGTTACAATGCGCTGACAGATTGCTGTGGTTTAACTCCTGCTAGCCAAAT